GTAAGGTCGTCTCTCGTTTTCCCACCCGCGTCCACCCCTCACATTTGCCCGTCGTTTACCCCCTCGAATTGGCACCGCCATTCCCCCTTTAAATGCTCACCATCAATTCATTGGATTTTAGCGGTGAGTTTATAACGGGTCTCGGCGAAATGTGCCCGATCCATGTTAAAAATTGGCTTCTAATATGATATACGTCGGTCGCCATATGGCTGGAAAAGTGCGCCGGGACGATATTTTCAGTTTCTTCCGCCCCATATTGGAAAGTGATAGTATTTTCGCCATGGCGCTTCCCTTATGGGCAGGACTATATTTCACGCGCTATTGGGGGATCCAGAGTGGGCAAGGTCCCTTCGGTGTGATCGCCTTTCTTCTCTCTCGGTAATAAAATTCTTGCAATCTAATATGCAATTGCTGACAAGATTCTGAATAAGCTCCGGCATTGTCTAACCCATATTAATGACTCAAAACTATAAGTAACCCTTATCTGTTCCAGGACTGAGCCATCTTTATTAATTCTCCGTAATACAAATCTATTTCAGTACCCAGTATAATTACATTGGTTAATTGAGAAGCTAGATTCTCAAAATTATCTAAACTTCCAGCACCTCACTCCAATCCTATCAGCTACACAGGCACATCGTTACCCACTTTATATTGTAAACCCGACGGGATCATGGCTAAAGATAAAATAACGCCAGGAACGGTATCGTCGGTCGCTCGAGTGACTGAAGGTTGCGAGAAAACGTCAAACTGAAACGAAGAGTTGTTAGGCTGATTGACGTATCGAAGTGCGAGAGTGACAGGGACGGAGGGCGAAAGGTAGAAAGTTAAAGGCGTTCCGGTATAAGGGACGCGGCCGTGTCGCTCAAGGAATTCGAACTCCGGGGAGTACCGAGCAAAGCGCCAGTAGGGCGAATAGATATAGGGTGCTTGGGAAATCTGTTTCGGACTGGTCCAGGACATAGCTTCCTGGTCCGAATCTATAATGCATTATGGAAGCCACTCAAATAGTAGCCACGTCTCTACCGTAATAAAGAACAATACTATGGGCTCGATCTACGCTATTCCATGGGATTTTTATCACTCCGCCCCGTCTCCACCCCCCTTCCCAGCAGCGTTATCTTTCTCGCTATCTTCCTCTCTTCATAAATAAATTATCTCGTTTCACTATACTTTTTCATTCGGTTGTCGCGTTGCTTTCTTTATGCTGGCCTTACACGTCCACTGTAGCCGCTATCAGTCTACGCAAGTCCTCTCGCGGTATCTTCGTCGGTTAATCAATTGAAGGCACCGCCTCTGCATTGTTCCCAGTCATGATGGAAAAAAAGCGGCAGGACGTTTTTTCCCTTTCCCTAATTGTTTAATCCGGCTATAAAAGTTCGTTGCCTCCTCGGATGCTTCCCCAATATCATACGCTTGGTTCGTCCGGTGTAAGACATGCCGATGTTCCCGGTTGATGGGATTCCGAAAGTATTAAGTCCTGATCAGGTCCTGCGACATCCTGCTAATGGTTTCTTTATGCTGATCCTACGAGGAGTCTGAGCAATTTTTCCGGAAATCCGATACACAGCGGAGATGACCGACTTTTTTTAACTTATAATGAAAACCATTAGATAGACTATACATAGAGAAGCTGTATGCGTATCCGTTATGCAACTTTTATTCCGATAGTTAACTCGGCAAGCATATTATCGAATATAGGATAATCAAACTCTGGTGATTAGCACGCTTCGATTTATCCCGACACCGCGCTTACCATAATTTCCCTGGCTTTATTAATCCAAGCCATTTGAGTCGCTGATTTCAAACGAACTTAGCCCACCGACAGAATCCAAGACTCTCCTATCTATCGATTTCGATCAGCCTGTTCAATTAAAATCAAGGACCGTTCACTAGCACGTTTCCTCCTTTATCTTGAATTTTCAATGTAAAAATCTTCCGGGATAACGTAGACCCGATAACGCGATTAGGAGTCAGTACTGGACCTGTATCAGAGTCCTGAAATATAGCCTTACATTCGGCGATGAAAGTTTCAACATTTCCCTGATAATTTGGTCATTGAAAATTGTCTGGCTAGAGAAATACTTATAGATCGGAACTCCGTAGAGTCCATCCGGCGGATCCTTTATCAAATCCACTCGCTGAACCGTATCGGGACAAGTAGCTCAAAAGGGCAGGGGTGAGATGTAGTCCCTTGAAAGAAGTTCATTAAGAGAAGCTAAGGAAGCGAAGGTGCCTTGGTAGAAGGGCGTAGTCTGCGAGATTTTATCGTCGTTAATCTGTCTCCGGGTCTCGAAGGTAAGAAGACAATGAAGAAGAGTAAGAGCTGGAAGTGATGGAGGCTCGAAGATTCTCTATAGACTTCAAAAACCGGATGCTCCCATTTTACTCGATCAGAGCCTCTGGGGTGGATCAATGCATAATCGAATTTTTAACTTAGAGCGACCCTTCGGCTTCACGAGAGTGCCAAAAAACATTCTGGTTATTGCTGACGATGTTAGTTGGTTCGCTGTCAGGGCGAGGAAAAATAATAGCACTGCTTTAGGTTGCGATAAAGGCATGACGTTATCTACTGTGTATTATTGAGCAGCTGTACTGTACGCATCGATCGATTACATATCGATCTAATCACATATCCGTAGTACGTAGTCCACGTAGAGAGGCATCGAGTAACGAGACCAATACTTACTAAAGTCCATTGTGGTAGAATAAAATGTAAAAGGTAATCTGTATATATTCAACATTTGAATATCTATATATGCTTTTGTTGGACGACACGTCAGTTTCTATGATCCGTACGAATGGGATATTGAGAAATAACAGGGAGAACGTAAATTTCTGCTGCACTGGTACGAGACAGTTGCTGGAAGCCAAAGTCCCAACGAAAGTCTAGGAAGGCTGCGTGTTACTATCCCTAGGGAGCTTTAATACCGGTATAACTTGGAAGCCTGTGGGTAGTATATTATACCGTCGAATGGAACCTTTCTGATAAAACTTCTCGGGGCAACTACCATGTAAAAAGAGTTTCCATTTTGCTTCGCTCTCGTATTAAAAATATTCAACGTCTATTTATATCCCCTTGTGCCGATACTTGCATCAAAGTAAATGGTAATTGAGCGAGCCGCTATAATACTGGGCTCTCGTTACGTTGCTTTAATAAATTTGTTTATCTGCAAAAAAAAGGATCCCCGTAAAGCACGGCAATAGAATACAGGAGAAAAGAGGTTTTTGTTTTCCAAATAAATTTCACGTCAATTTCAAAAATTAAGAGTCGACTTCTTCAATTATTTTACCATCCGTCACGTCCTCTTGGCGAAGTCGTACAGTCGCCACGATATCGTCGATACCTTCGTCCCACTCGATTTCGATACGCGTACATTGGTACGTCGGTTCGTTTCAGGGTTACGATACGTTAACCTTGGCTACGTTGACGAATTCCTGTGGGAATTAGCGGGACACTCTCAAGATTACATTTCGAGCCCGCGATGCGTTCCTTGGGGCGTGTCGCGTCGCACAGCAATCGAGTCTACGTAGTCGCAAGTCGATAATGAAGAAATACTCGGAAAGACGAAGGGATCGAAATCCCAGGCGATTACCTAACTACCTACGGGCAAATAAAGGAACGGTAGGGAAGTGGAATAGAAGCGAAGGTAACGGATGAAACGGGACCATCTTCACGGCAATGTACTAGCGCATCGTTAAGGATAAAAGGTGGAGCAAAGGCGTGCGCTTAATGGCAGGACATTCCTGTTCCCGGGAAAAGAGACTACAGAGTCTATGGCTGAACACGATGCCATTTCACGAAGTGGCACGTATCTCTATTTCTCTAAAGAGATATCCACTGCCCGATATCCGAAATTTGCCATTGATAAGACTTTGTTGAATTTTGAGAGCGAAGGCTAAAGGACGGTTCACACTGTAAGCACGTATCCTATGTAAGCGAGTGAAAGTCAGTGGCCAACGTCGAAATAATTAACGCCAGATCTAACTAATCGGCAAACGAAAGGCACGGCAGTGGTACTTCTTGTTGACATTGATGCGAACACATTGAGTCGAGTAACTAACTAGTTTAGCCACGGCGTGAATTCGTCATTCCATTTCCAACCCTTCGTAATTACGATCGCTTGTCGCGAGACGACGCGATCCGTCGCGTCCTTTCTCCTCTCCCTTTTCCTCCCTCTGAATCTATCCCTCGCAGCCACGCGGAGCCTTCCACTCCCTCGGGAGCGAGTGGGAGTAAAAAATAAATGGTAGTTGCTCTGATTGATTGCCACCCCCTTCGCGAACCACTCGCGCGACACTTTTTGCACTTTTAATTGAGGGTCATTTTCACTGGAGCACACCGAAATCGTACCGACGGCTACGCCGACGCTAGCGCCACCTACAATTGTACCGCGTCCTCTTTTTTTGGCCTCCCCCTGAAATTTTTTTTTTCCCATTGCGCCGCAATGCGCTCCGATGCGGGCTATCGATGACTAATTCTTATTAAAAAACCAGCCCCAAGATAACTGGCAAAATTTAACGATCCCGACGCGCGATTATTCGTTTGCCAAGCACTGTTTCAAAAGTGCATTCACTCACTGTCCAGTGGGAACGTTTCGCGTGACGGCTCCAGCCATTTTTCTCAAACGACTCGTCGGACGATCATGAATTTTCTGCTGAATTTCTGCCCGATGAATAATGCCGCTCCGGGGTGCGTCTACTTGTAGATATAAAAAAAACTCACCTTTATGCCGCGGCCTGCGAGAGGGAGTTGATAGATGGGAAACGT